ACAGCCTACAGACGGGAACCATCAGGCAACGGAACAGCTTCTTCCCCATCATCTGTCCGGCTCCTGAACGCCTCCTGACACCAACTATAAGGACCTGCTATTATCCTGTATTATAACCCACTAATAAATATATATATATATATATATATATATATATATATATATATATATATATATATATAATCCATACCCAAACCTTTATTTATTTTATAGCCTCTTACAATTATTCTCTGTTTATATTTACTATTTATAGTCCATGCATAAACTCTCTGTTTAAGTAACTGTTTATATCCGGTATAGATCTTCTGGATAGATGCAAACTACATTTCTCTGCTATATGGTTGTGACAGTGTGATGACAATAAAGTTGAGTTCTATTCTATTCTATTCCTCCTGAAGCTGCTGTTTTACCTTCAGCTTAAAATGAACGTTTATGCTAGAAGAACTTCATCATTTGATGATTAGTTATTAAAACTTCTGATTGAATCTATTTTTATTAGATTCAATCAGAATCTAATATCTTCCCCTGGCTTCAGTCCAGCCTGTTTTAGAGCTGCTGATGGAGGCTGAAGGTTTCTGATCAATCAGAACGTCTGACTCCTTCCTAACCTTGACTAAATTCAGCCTGATGGTAAATTACTTCCAGCTAAAAGCGTCTCCATCAATGAGACCTTCAGGAGCTCTATAGCCTCCATCCTGGTGTCCCAGAAGAACCTCTGAAGGTCAAAGGTGATCCAGGCCAGCAGGGGCGTTCCATCCAGAACCAGATAAAAACATCAAATATCAGCAGAACTGATGTCAGATCTAATATCAATCTTTCAGTTCCTGATACTAATAAAAATAAATAAATTTTATCTGAATCAATGAGGGAAAATAGGCTCCCTCTGCAGCGACACTCTGGCAGATAAGGCTGTGGAGCCATTTTGCTGTGCGTCACGGCGCCATATCTGCAGTTGAGGCGTGTTCTGATGGAAATATGCAATTTGCTTTTTTATTTATACCTTATTTTGATAGCTGGGGAAATATTGCAGTATGTAGTAATATTGCAATATTGTGGTAATATGGTATTGTGATGCAGGTATTATGATACCTATCATATCACAACACCAATGTCGATACTCGCCCCTAAAAGTGGGTCAGAACCACATCTGAGGAGGCTCTGGGCTTCTGACCCGCTGGATGGACCTTTAAATTTAACAGTGAGACTGAATGTGATAGAGACCATCAGAGCTCAAACCCAGAACCGGCCCAGATCAGAGCTCAAACCTTCGCTTTTATTATCCTGCTGCCTGCAGTTTGTAGCACAGACCTGAAAAACGCAAACATCTACTTCCAGCCGCCACCAACAGGAGGGGAAAACCCCCAAGAGGCGAGCGGGCCTGAGGCAGCTTGGAAAGGGCTCTGGTTTAAAACGGGCTCCGGTTTATAAAGGGCTCCGGTTTATAAAGGTCTCCTGTTTATAACGGGCTCCGGTTTATAAAAGGCTCTGGTTTATACTGCTTTGGTTTATAACGAGCTCTGGTTTATAAAGGGCTCTGGTTTATAAAGGGCTCTGGTTTATAACGAGCTCTGGTTTATAAAGGGCTCTGGTTTATAAAGGGCTCCGGTTTATAAAGGGCTCCGGTTTATAAAGGGCTCCGGTTTATAAAGGGCTCCGGTTTATAATGGGCTCCGGTTTATAATGGGCTCCGGTTTATAAAAGGCTCTGGTTTAT